TCGTAAAAAGAGGAAAGATGAAAAACTTTAAGCAAATAAATACGAGTATTATTCATGCGGATAACCACGCTCTATATTCGCCTGAAAACATTTTGGTTCAATTCTTCCCCACGAGATCTCTATGAAATCGGCTTACGTATTTTGTAGAATAAATATTACGGTGATATTTTGTAAACAGATATAAAAGGGCGCTTTAAATCGCCAAAAATGCTAAAGTTCGTAAATTCCAAAGTGGCTGAAATATTACAGTTAGTTTTTCATGCGTTTCATTAATATTATTCATTCTGACGGACAAGTAAAACAATGCAAAATACTTTCTTTAACGCTCAGACAGCGTGAGTTATTATAACAAATTTGCATCGGGCTGTTTGTTTGTTATAAAGTTGTCTTTGTTGGGCTTACGAGTAATGAATTAAACTTTTGAAGCTGACAGTGGGTTCCCTTAAACTAATTTAGAGTTTGCTTGTTGGATTATTCAATTTGCTAGGTTAAATTTACATGAGAGGTAATATAGAATTACAACTAACCTGCAATTCCAAATGAAGATCCTTGCGGAATTATTGTTCATACCTGTGTTTGTAATTGCTAAGATACAAACAAACTTTCTTGGAAACGAAGTTTCACTTGGATTTTATTACAGCACATTTCAGTTGATATTACATTACGTCTGCATTAGCTACACCATTTCGCGATAAACATCACATTTTCACAAATTATGGTTTCTAATACGTATTAGCCGGTGGTAAATGAGAAAAACGAAATTGGGTCAAGAGTACCAAGACCAAGATTTTCAGGAATGGGTTCCGACGACATTAAATTTGTTGGTCTAAAGTTACACGTTCCAACGAATTTCATTAAGCTGGCAATAACGAAACATTACACCTAATGAAGGTACCTCCATATCTCCCAACACGTGCACTGTTTATTAAAGCTTTAACTTGTAATTTATTAAGTGCGCATTTTATTGCCGTTTAGTGCTCTTGAATAATAATTACGCACCATAACGCAGTCAAAATTCTCCCCTCAAAAAGCGAAGTTGGCAAAAAATAAAATTAATTTATAGAGACATTCAATTTTATCTCATGCGTTTACTAATTTCTAAAGACATGAAATTGCTTAACCGCTTTACAATTTAGTTAATGAAGAGAAGTAGCTAGACGGTTAGGACAAAATACGTTACGTATTTATCTCCCTACTATCTCCCAGGTAAGAGTAATTAGTTTCAATTTGCAATTACTCGCAGAGATAGAGAAGATTACCATCTAAAATGTATGAAGTGCGATTATCCACTGACAATGAGGATGTAAATTATTTACGGTTGCTTATTTACCAACTTGCTACTGTAGTACGTGATTACTAGAAGACTAGCAATCCAAAATAAACACTGCCAAGTATAGTTAAGATCATTTCATGCGTTATCTCTCTTTTCTAAGCACCTCTCGTTTCAAAATCAACAACATTTGACGCTACCTTTTTCCACTTTTTTTACTTTGCAAACGTAAACTAACACTTTACTGTGGTAGAATCCATGTTTTCAGACTTGTACAATACGAAAATATTGGTCGTCTCCTTTCATCTGTTTATTACTAATTTTATCAGACACGCAATCTCTGAAACTACTAAGCCAATTGCTGTGAAACTGTGGATATACTTTAAAACTATAACGTAGATGGTTACAAGCTGACCAAAATGACTTTCGACAACTTGATTACATAGAAAAGCTTCAATATTCTACGAAAAAATTTAAAAATTTGTTTTAAAAAAGCAAACACAACAAACTTTAAGGTTATTGTAAACATAGTACATCGCTATTAAATCAACTATTAAACCAATTGTTTTGAAATTTAGCACATGTTTTGAGGCTACTGTCAACCTAACCAATGGCTAATCAAATTTCGCTACTCATCTCCACCAAAATTTTGCTAAACGAGCTAAGAAGATAGGACTCGAAATGAATATAAGGAAGACAAAAGTTATGAAAACCAGCACAGAAAGAATAATAAAGTCCAAAGCGTATTTTATATGTCGAAAAAATAAGGAACTCCTATAAACTGATAAGAACAAAAGTTCGAATATTCAATACAAGTGTGAAGAGCTCCGTTGCATCCAACAGAAACTTGGAAATAAAAGAAGAAGTTAATAGGGATGGTTCAAACGAACATTTAAGATCTATTGGTCAGTTAAGATAACAAATAAAGAATTGTGGATAAGAACCGATAGAGAAAACAGTGAAAAGAAATTGGAAATACATCGGGCATACTTTAAGAAACAAGGAAACAGACATCACAAAGCAAGGTGTTGATTACCAATCAACTGGCAAAAGAAAATTATGAAAAACCATTAAACCATCATCGTCCAATAAGGAGCAGTTTAACTTTAATTAAAATAGCTGATTCGTATCAAAAAGACGTAAATAAGTCTAATTAATCACCAGTGACAACCAATGCGTCCTACGAATAGTACTTATAATAACTAGCTCGAATCAATCAAATTTTTTCTGGAATTTTTAACAGATTTCGTAAATGTAATTTGCATTACTTGGGTCGGTATATATCCAGCGGCAGACTGAATCAAGTTCAGACTAAGTTAAATTGCCATTTTTTTTCCTTCTTTTGTAGAGTTTGAACGAAATGTTTATGTATACCGTATTTTGTATCAAACTAGTGGCAGTGCAGAAAATTTTAAAAATAATTTAATGTGACAACATATAAAATAACATGTTTGTTTTCGAAGACGTAAAAGAGTAATCATAATTCACAGCTATAATGTATATAAAATATAAACATGGTGATTACTAAGGGCTCTACTTGTTAAAAGCTGTATTCAATGGTATGTTGAATACCACACCTTGTGAAGGTACGTAAGTTATAGCGTTAATCAATTAAATCATTATTATGCAATATGGCAAATGGTTCCAATTTTTAACACGTACTAATAGGATTTTACACGATCTCATCGAAATTGTTGATTGCAGACATAAAAGAAGCGAAAAAACGTTTACATTATAACTGTATTTTTAACTTCATTCTTATTTATTTAATAAATGGTAACGTTGTTTTGAGATTTTGCACATTTAGCTTGTGTATTTGGGAACTTCTTACTGAGTTTCCACTCAAAATAACAAAACACATTAAGTTTAGTAGCAGTAAGTTAATGGAAAGCCACAAGTAAGTAGTAGATCTACACAGTAATTTAGGTGTGAACACCTCTTTAGAATTGCTGTTATTTCAACACTGGAATTTCAAACTGGATAAATTATGTAGTTTAAGTGTACCAATACGTCGTGAACTTTTGTGATATAATTATTTGTTTAAATACACCCGGCAGTGTGACTTTGTACTTCAATACAAGCTTTCTTTGAAAAACAAAGTCGCGAGTTTCAGTGACTCTCTGACTTTTTAAATAAAGTTTTGTTATAATGTGACCTAACCTATAACAGACCCAAATCTGTTTCAAAATGTTTTAATCAGATTTACGAATTTAACTCGTTACTATGGAAATTTGCAATTCAGCACCCTTTAAATTTAACAAGTTTTATTATTTTAACTAAAGTGCTTACTAAAGTCTCGGCTATAATGATTTCAAAAGAAGACGCCAGCTACTTGTTGTATACAAATTGGGTGCCAAAATGATGAAAAAATAGTATGTGAAGTAACCGATTTGACTGTTGTCAAAGTTTTAAAATTTACGTATAGTCACTGTATATTTTCAAAAAAGTCAAGAAAGTAATTATGAGACACTTTTTGAAGAAATCTTGTCTCTTTTTAAGGCATTAATAGCATTATTACAAATTTGATACTCACCCTTTTACAACTCATAATTAACTATTAATTTTTTTAGTAAGTAATACTACTTTTACGACCTGTAATTGATTAATTCTATATACGAGGGGTCCTCAGTGAAACTAAGACAACCTGATTTTGTTAGACAGTTGCATTCTATATTCATGTAAAATTTTATTTATCTAGAATTAACAGTTGGCTTTCCAGTGAGTCAAACTGATTTGTCTTGACCCCTTACCTCTAAAATTTAAGCATGTAAAGAGAGGTTTTGATTCAATAAAAGCAAAAGACAACGCCACTGAAACGATATTTACTTCTTTTATTAATTCTTCTGAGTTATTTAGACTTTTTTATTAGTTGAAAATAATTATAACTAAATATCTATTTTGCCATCTATAAATTATTACATATATCAATAGAGAAAGGTTGATTTTGTGTGACAAATTTGTATCACTGACGAAAGTAATTCGCTGCATTTGCACCTCTGACAACTTGTGGCGAAAACCGTAATATTGTAACATAATTTTTTCAATTAAAAAAGCATTAAGTCTGAACCAACTGAACAAATGTTCCTCTCTCAATCAATTTTTATCTCAAAGCCAAAATAAAAAACAAATTTAAAATAAAATAGGATCCTTTTTGGTAGAAATTACGCTGTAAAACTCAGTAGTGAAAAAAATAAAAAATCCTGGATAAATAAAAATTTACACAAGTATAGAACGCCTCTTGACTAATAAACTCAGGTTGTGGCAGCGTCGCAAATGACTACAGAAGCGTAGATATTTCCAGGACATCCCTCGTATAAATTTTGAAACTGCGTGAAACACATGTTTGCGTAACGAACCGCCATCTGATTATGCGATTTTCGCTCCACACGAGAGTATATCCCCCTGAATTTACACTTTATGAAAAGAAAAGAAAACGTACACACCAGCGAAAGACTTACTACCATCTTTTTCCAACACATACGGTGCGACAAGGACAACCATCACGCCTTAGTGTATATGTATATTAACAATATCTGTTACCAAGATGTTACATATGTACATAAAATGCCGTCTATCATAATTTGAAGAAATACGCCCCAATAAAAGTCGTTCGCTCCGTTCTGTCCTCACTACGCAAGAGGACTTTACCCCTAGCCGCTGCATGGCCGCTTACTAAATTAAAAACAGGACTGCGTTCGAAATCACCTTAATCAAACATTCAGGTACTTACAGATGACGTTGAGCCTAGCGTTTGCCCGAATTGCCTTATGAAGCCTTGCCGGTCCCACTTGACACTGGTATTCGGCGTCGTCCTCTAGGGAAGCATTGCTCACCCTCAAGTTATATATACCGTGACGACGGTCACCGATCACAGAGTATCGAGGGAAACCCGGAATAACCGACGAGAACCCTGTGGACAATCAAAACATGATTTAATTAACGTTGTAGGATTCGTCCTTAATTAGGAACAAAAACGGTAGACACATTCTCGGAGCAGGTTTACTCAGCCACTAATGGGATGAAGGAGTAAAAAAAACGATCATTTTTACTGCACTAAAGCTACAATTAATTACTCTTGCCTGTAAATGGAACAGAGTGAAAAGCGGTTACCTACCAAATTTCAAAACCCTCTAGGTATAGACACGGCGCTGTCGGTGTAGTTGGTTGTCAGTATTTGAAAATATCCATTTAATTAAGATCGTTCAAATCATTCCGTTATAACTTTGTTCCATTAAGTTTGCTGTAGCGAATCTAGTGGAAGTTTTATCTCGATCCAGCGCCCTCCGCGCCACAACTTGTCTTTTTTTGATATTCAACTCTCACAGCAAGATTAAATTTAAAATTTTAGTGCAGTAAATTATATCTATGATTTAGTTATTAGTAATTCGATTATTTATTAAAACTATACCAATTCTTCAATTCTTTGACTTCAACAAGTTGTTTGACAAACAAATTATTAGAAGACGTCTTCAAGTTGGTACTCGACAAGCAAGCTGCTTTTTTATCGTCTGTTATTCACAATGGAGCAACTAGAAGAGGAATTTTGTAGATGGTACGTTATGAATAAGCGTTGAATACATTTCGGGTTTTTGTAATTAGCTGTGCTGTGTCGTGTTTTGCGATCGATAATATTAATTTCACCACGACCATAGAATATGTCATACGTTCAAAGACATACAATTAACAGCAAATTTGAAACTCAAAAAACGTTTATCACTGCTTTATGTTATTTATCGTATTTCGATCTCATCCTGAACATTGTATCTTTTCTAAAAATAATAATAATCGCATCTATAATCTAAATGCAAACTCCTTATATTGGTATAAATAAAAGTATTAAAACTGTAAATCCCTTAGTTGATACTTAATGCAAAGCCATGGTCAACTTGATGGATAAACATTTATAACCACCAGGGACGGATTTAGTGGTCACGCAAAACAGGTAAATAGGGGAACTGAACGTCTGGGACTACAAAAACTCCCATTTGTCAGTCTGCTAATAACAATTTTTTTTCTTGAAAAAAACTTTTGCAAGCGAATTTATTCTCTGTGTAAGCCCCACAACAATTAAAGCCGACCCTGGTAACCACTCGGTATTCATGGATTCTTTATGACATTTTATTTTGATTTATTTGGTGTATTTTTGTTACTGCCATGTGACACATCTATTGATTATTGGCCCACGACACACCAAATACAACATCAGAACATTTATTTTTAGTTTACTTTGAGTTTCCAGACTGGGTAAACGTACATACGTCAAATTTGTTGCCATGTTTAGATCAAAAGAAGGGAAAAACTTGATATTTTGAATTAATGATCTTTTAAACTTTCTTATCATGTGTAGAATTATAATAACACTCTTCTGGTCAAGTATGTTACAAGTTTACAGTATGAAAAAGAACAATGTTTATTAATTAATTTATTTGTATAAAAAACAGTTACGATTATTTTACAGATTTGATGTTGCATTCACATAAAAATTTGTGGCTGACTTGCTACTTGTGTTACGTGAATCACCTTGTACATGCAATTTACAAAAACTTCCAACGCTTGAGTAAACTTATTTTGCCGAGGCACTGACTTTTTATACGGTTTTTATATTCTTTAAAGTTCATATGAGCATGTAATTCGGAAGGTTAACATTTCGGTCAAAGTTCAGGAGAAAACAGTGCTTTTATTATATTATTCACGTTCAAAATTCCAAATTTGTCGTTGAACTACCCTATGAAAATATTTCGCCGAGATAATGTCAAATATTTAAACCATAATGTGAAGGCAAGCTATCCCCCTACAAGCAAAATTTTCATTGAGTATTCAACTCCCACTTTCATGAGAAAATAAAGTGGTCATTTTCTGAATATTATTATTTTCTCAGAGGTTTCAATAAACGTTGACTACGCGCCGGTTTCCTTCAGAAAATAATAATTTAGCCCCAAATAATTTCGCTTCGCCCTCTCAAATTTTCACAAACAACGTGTTTCAATTTTCGTAATTCTAAATAACGTTAATTACTTGGAAAAAAAGGACGTAAATTTGATTTAAACGTAACGTGTAATATTTTATAAATTGCGTGTATAATTTTTTAATTACACGTATCATTAGCAAACACGGAAGAGATAATAACAAACAAGGAGTAGCTAGATGGTTAATGATTATTTTTAGAAGATGGTTTAACTTTAAAAAAAGCAGTAGTAGCTGTGAAAAATATTTATTTTGAGAGAAGACCACCAAAAGTGGAGTTTTTACATTTTCAGATAAACCAGTTCTAGTTCCATGATATACCATTAATAGTAATGATCTAATAGTCTACAATCAAAATCCGGCTACGTAGCGGTCTGCTGTCTTTGTACTAAGCTCTCAAACACGTTCGACTAAAATTCCATAGGATTCAATTAAATAAATAATAATAAAACTAACAAATAATCGTAACTGCCAAGGTGACATTTTTCATGCTGTAAAATAAATGCTCACTTTCACTAGATGTAAAATGCATCCGTTACAGAAAATAGGACAGCATAAAATTTTTAGGACTGCATCGAATTCCATAAAGTATAGAAATCGAAGAAATTTCGTCTGCCAAACCAGACTATTCTAATTTTAATCATAGTCATACGCTGAGGATGCCAACAACAAATAATTTAAAAAAACAACCGAGAATCTGCAAAACTATTATTTAAATGTTTATTACAGAAAATAGACAACATACAAACACGGTGCATAGCCTTTTCAGTCTTTTAACGTACTGCACAACAAACCATCGTCAAACTCGCTGTGAATAATAGAGATCCATCTGCAGACCTATCACGAAATGACATAAAAGCACACCTTTGCTCAGAGCAGGTCATATCACAACGCTGACAAATCTAATTTAGGTTTATACTACCAAGCAAATTCATAAAGTGCTTCGGTCTTAGTTTATGAAAGAAAGTTTATTCTGGCTTTTGCCTCTGGCACTTCATCTGTTTATGAGTTGAAGTCAAAGTAATTCTGAATTCGCTTTTCTTGGAAAGTCGGTGCGTTTTAAAACTTAAAAACATTCAGTGAAAGTGATTTTTTTGCGTATGTAACGAATTTTTGTTATGTAAAATTCGTGACACTTTGCATCTGCTTATGAAGGAATCATTTATCTTCCACAAAATAAAAATTCCTACCTAAGGCGAATCCGTCCTTGGTCCATTGCACCTGACCCGCCAAATTAGCCACCTCGCATTCCAGCATCGCCTCACCACCTTCTTGCACTTTGACATCCCGAGGTTGCACTCGGAAATATTGTTGCTGACCATAGACCAAACTTAAACCGACGGTCATTAAGCACACTGCAAAAAAGGAACATTGTTAAAAAAGAGTAACTGCAACGAGGGTTGCCTGAAAAATTTAAATTTATGGGATATGTACGCTGATGCGTAGCTATGTTGATCCTTGTTCCAAACCTTTTCTCTACGCAAGATGGGTATAAATGACTCGGGATAATTTAAAATTCCTCTCCAGTAGCTTCATAATGCAAACTCTAATGGGATCTTACAGATGTGGCCTTTAACGCCTTTGTACATTTAGATTAATGCCCGGGATAGTGTAGGTATTGGTCATTATCTTTTATGTTGGCTTGTTTTAAACCTATTAGGAGTTTCCTCGTTTACGTAATAATGAAGTAAGAGTTGGTTAGTAAAAAAGAGGGTATCAGCACAACGTTCAGTCTTGCAAAAATAGATCAGTTCATCATTAAAATTTATCACAATTATTTCGAGGACATAAATCTGTTCTTGAATATAAATTAGGTTTAAAAATTATAGTGGGTGTTACATAAATCAACATCAGCCCCTCCCGCTTTTTTATGTTTATTATTTTAATAACATTGAACTTGGGACATGTGATAATAACCCAGTAATTAATACATTTTTAAAGCAGACATTTCTCTGCCGGTTCCTCGCGAAAACCTTCTAATTACCTCATATTTTACCACTGAAAATAGACATCGCTGCTTAGATGACATAATTTTGTATTAACTGTTTACTTATTAAAGAAACATTTAGTATATTTAGAAGTCTGACACTGACACATCAACACTACTCTCAATCAAACTGATGCTCTGACATAAAATGACAAATTAATTCACTTGTTTTAAAATGTTAATTTCAAACAGTGACATCTTTTTTGTGAAAAACCTTTGACACAGTGTCACTTTTGATTAATGACAAGAGTACATAAGTTATGAGAAAACAACAATAATCTGCAATGGAGATATTATTTCATCTTTATGCCTACTTTGGGTGGTTATTAATTTCATTCGTGTTGTTCAAAAAATTGAAAACGGTAGTAATAAATTTATACTGAAATATATGTTCCGAAATTCTATAAAATTCTTTACTTAATTTTTGCGTCTGATAGAAAGACTATTAAGGGCTAATAGAAGTACACAAAGTCAGTAGAAAATATACATAATAATATAGACATTGCAAGACTATCTGAGCTTCTCTGTACAGAATTTGAGGGACATCTGAAAACATATAGTGTCATTTCATTAGTCTGTTAACTGGAGTTTTCGCTAGAATTATAACCAAAATTTTTGTTTGTACGAACACGCAACGTTTCTAAAAAAACTGTCTAATTTCCTACGTTATTTACTGTTTTTAAATTAATGGGTTCTATTTTTTTATAATAAGAAGATTAATTAATATTTGTTTTTAATTGAGCCATGCGATTGGAAAAAAAGTAATCAAGGTAATGAAAACGCTCTAGAACATTTATAACGTCGAAAAAAACTATTTCTATGGTTACACTTTATTTTTAGTACTGTCAAATATGTAATACCGTGTGGTTTTTTAAATTTGTACTTTAAGTTGGCCATGACGCGCACGTCAACAGTGCAATGGAAACGGCTGACGTATGACGCCAACTCTAACAGGAATTAAAAAAAAAAACAGTCGATATATTGATTTCAAATACCAGTACTCTTTTTAAATTTCCCGCGTAACCCCTTTGTAGTAATCCTGATTTTGAAAAAATGCATGATAATATGCACTAAGAAGCAGAACATATTTGCATTAAAGTACCCGCAGAAAAATTAACACATTTAAATTTGCATAATGCAATTGCAGAACTACATACCAAAAACGGTAATCAGGTAAAACCTCATAGTTACTACTGTAGAACAATTTTGTCTCCCTTTGAATTGGTGTTTTTAAAACCTCTTATTATACGAAATTAGATATATATAACAATAGTCCGACAACTTTGAAAGGAACGAAAAAAATGCGGCAAAATAAGAATACAATAGATGATATAAAATAATATGATGCTGTTATTTAAGACTAGTTTTTAAAAATGAACCCTCGAGCATAAAATTCTTATTATAAGTAATTACGTATTGTGTTATTCTCCCTAGCTCCGATCAATATTCTTTATATAGAACAAAAATGTATTAAAGAAAAAAAAAAGATAAAATATTAATTACTACACACAGAATCGGTAAACGTTTGAATAACTTGTTATCGAAAGTTTAAGAATTACTCTTTTTAATGGACTGGTTTGTTGGTTTAACTAGAACGTTCTTTGTATCTTCACGATGTTGTCTCATACTCGTCAATGGGTCCGGTTAAAGACATTTGGAAAGCGGCAATAATAATGACTTTCTTACCTGACCCAGAGCACCCAGTTTACCTATACGCTTCAATTATAAATGTTAATTTATATTTTTTGGTAGTTTTGATATGTTTACTTGTGGTTTATGGATCTTTGAGGGAAGCTCGAAAATCTTTAAATTTGTTTCATACTCAAACTAAACATTTTATTGTGTCATTTAAAGCGACTCTGATACAGTAACAATCTTAATGGTGACTCTTCTTCTATATGGTCAGTTTAAGACACCATTATAACACAAAATCCACAGCTTGAATGTATAAACATTTGTCGTGTCTAAGTTCCTGTTAAATACTAGAACCCTCCTCTTACAACTTTCCAACTTCTGGTCCGTCTTTGACGACAGTAATGTGTTTAAGAAAAGCTCACGATATTTATGATTGCAGAAACTGTAAAACGTCAGTGTGAAATGTTAATGATGGATTCTAACCCAATTTTTTACTTTAATTTAATTGGAATTACAACTGCAATACAAAAATGTGAACTGCCTTTTGTATACGTTATCTCTATTCATAATTCATTTTTATAGAAACGAACAAAATGGAAAAAATAATGGTAGGTACCCGTCGCAAAATGATCGTAGGCTTTGGTTATCATTCATGTGGACTTACAGCAGTGCCACAAGTGATTTAGTGGTTCATGAATTAACGAATTAAGAGAGCCATCACGCACAGGTTGTCGGATAACGACTAACAGTTTTTGGCACCCGTCCAGACTAGTTAGCAGATCAATTTCACAGATAAATAATCATACATTTGGTAAAGCTAGTGGTATTGCGGAACAGTTCATATATTTACTAGCTATTAACATTAAACGACTCCGGAGGCTATTGTGGTTAATATTGTATCGGTGTTCTCTGTTCAGCTGTCCGGAGGATGGTGTAGATTTATGTCCCTCAGGTGCGTTATCCCCGAAGTACACTCGGCTGGTCTATTTATTCCTTAGTTAAGACAATTCCATATGGGAAACTGACGCTGCGGTGTTTACCTAACCCGGAATTATTGCTCGATTTGTTTGACTTATTAATTTGCTGCGGATTTTGAGTAAATTTGTAAAGTCCACTCTGGACCTATTGTAGTTTGTAATTAAACTCATCTAGCAAACAGCATTCAGCAAAGCCGAAGCATTAACTCCAAACGACTTTCATTTAGCTATTTTAATATGCACGTGTAAAGGCAAAAAGATTACAGTGCGCTTCGAAATAAGACCAGGGAAATTTAATAAATTTGCACACAATTGCTTGAATACGTAACCAACTCGGGAACATTTTATTTAGCTAATTCCGTGCAGACTGCATCTGAGTCCCTAATTATACGAGAAAAGTCCAAAGCCATGTAACGAACACAACCAGTTTCACGTACTTGAGTTGCCGTCTACTTCATTATACGAAACATTTTCGATTCTGGTCGAAGGAAAGAGACGAAGTTGTAGCAGAATTGTTTGAATTTGTGTCGACCACTAACAGGTGTACTGCAATGCAGCATTAACGTGATACATTTAATTCGTTTTACTTTTTTTCCCCGGTTTTCCATTACGTCCCATTTGGCCAATGTGCAATTTGCATTTTCCTCAAGACCAAATTATGCACCCACAAGGTGGACACTCACTTATGTTAATTGTTACATGTACCATCCGCGGTTGTAATTACCGTAAGTGCATCTAAAAATTGCCCACAAAGTGCATTATTTACAAAAAGGATTGAAAGTTCCACTATGCTAATGTGAATACTTGGTAATGTTGAACTTTCGTAAAGTTCGAGGCGACGCCAACAGGACTATGAGAAATTATAATAGCTCAAATAATGCATGTCTTGCGGTTCGCGAAGTACTCCTGTTGCACAAAGTGCATATTTATTAGCACACAAACTTAGCTGTAATGAGTTGACCTAGTCGACTGTAGCAGACTTATCTCGGCTGCCCATAGTAACTTAGAACTTATCTCTTGTACAAACCGAAAATATTAAATATCTCCAGAGTTAACATACCGAATTCACAACAATTCATTTTCTCAAATACTTGTGTAAGAATTTTCGGCGAAACACTTTCATCTTTTTGTATGATTCTCACTTTTAGGTCTTCAATAGAACCCACCGATTGTTTAAAAGCGATGTTTTTCAAAATTGGGAACAAGAAATAATCAAAAGGTGTCAAATCGGGTGATCAAGGGGGGTAAATATGCTTTTGTGTGGAAGCTAAATAAACCTCGTTATAAAAGTCCCTTAGACACTCCAAACTTGTTTGAGTTGTATGAGCTGTTACACCGTCCTGCTGAAAATATCCATTCTGTAATTCTTAAGGATCAAGCTGGTTAATACATTCCAGGCAGGAGGTTTAAGTTGTTGAAACACCTATATTTTGTTGAGGAATACCATCGGGTCCTCTTTAGCAATTTTGTGATAAGTCGAATATGACATGTCAACTTGCTGCGAAAGGTTTCCTAAGATCTGTCAACATTTTCAACAGCTTCGGAAATTCGTTTTGTACGGCTTCCTGATTTCCTCTCCTAATCTCACGAAATAATTTTACATTCACTTGATGGCCGTTGCGGAAGTAAAACTCAAACATGATTTTTTTATGATCTGTGGAGAACATTTTTTTCGAGATGAAAATTCTGCTTCTGAGCCAAAACACACCTGGATATCACACGGTAAAATTATTTCACATCCAAAATAGTGAAAGTG